GAGTATAGTGAAATGTATGGATTTGCCATGTAAAAAATGTATATTAAAAGGATCACAGAATTTTGAACAGTTTCTGGGAATTCTAAAATGCTCCAAATATCATTTCAATTCCACCTCCACAAACTCTTCACCATGGATTAAGAACTCTGTATTTATAAAAAAGTTATGGGACAGTTTTTACATGAGCAAAACATATCATTTTTAATCTGTACTTCTACGAAGCTGAATGAAAGATTCTGACTTTATATAGTCATACTCAAGTTCTTTATTCATATTCTTCTTGCACCTAAAAAGGAAAAAAATAGAGCATTATTTATCTATGTTTATTCATTCATGATACATGTATTCCATATTAATATATAAGGTATATGATAAAACATACACAAAATACAAATGATGCAAGAATCACATGAAGACAACAGAAAAATGTTAATTAGCAATAGTCATGATGATATACTATACAATAGTGACTATTTCAAGGCAAATGTATGCTTAGCTCAGAATTCATCATTCCTGATAGCTAATATATAGTTCAAGTAGTCTTGGCTAATTGTAGATATTTTTTTATCTATTTCTTGTTAGATCTAATTAGAACCTTATTGTTCCACTTCTTAATATGTCTGACAGAGAAGTCTTAGAGGTTAAAAAGACAATTTTGGTCTTGATTTCACCTAGGCTCCTATTATTATTATATCTCAATCTTTGATTTCTTTTCAGAAATCCTTTTAAGCCACTAGCTTCACAAATAAGAGAGTTGATTGGTTAAAGCTAGCCATAGTAGTGTAATCTAGGGAATCCATTTATGTTGGAATGTGTAAACTGCAAGCAATGTTACTGCTTAAAGAGACGTAGTCACCACTGAAAGAACAGAGGCTGTACCAGGGTTCCCTTTCTGCCCTTGGCACTCTGTTTCTCTTAGAATTGTTCAGGTACCATCCATGGAACATGATCAACTTATGGAGGGATCACAGACAGACTCTAGAGTCAATGATTATACTAAATATATATAAAGTTCATATATTTTTGTCATTGCATCATTACATTTTCATCATTAAAGGAAAAAAAAAAGAATCTCTAATGTTCTTCCCATATGATAATAAATTGTTTTGCTCACTCCACTTCTGTGAATTACTTACTCCCTCTCAGTTTCCTTGAAACATGTGAAATGGTCTTTGCACAACTTCTGGCCTGTGATTTAAAGTTGAAATAAAAAAGAGAAGCTGTTATAATTGTGACTACTCTATTATACAAATGCCACATATACACTCATGTTACTCCCAGACTAATTAAAAAATAAGCAAAGCTTATCAATGCTCCTTACATGACTACAAGAGCTATAGCTTCTTCTTCTCAATAAAAAAAAAAAAACTTCCCAAACCCTTTACACTGATCATTTAGTAATCTTGTTTGTTAACATGGTAATTATTAATAGTGAAGACCTGCTAAATTCTGTACATCAGGTAACTTTATTATCTATCTCTCATCTTTTCATTCAACAACAGTTCTCTTTTTTTTTTGAACAACATACAATGTACTCAGCATCCAGCTAATTGCTGAGGTTTCAAAAATGAATTGAACTTGTTCCACACCCTCCAGGCACTAACTAGCTAGTAAAAGATGCTAACAAATAATCACCTCTAAATGGAGGCACACATTGGTTGCTATGGGAGCAGAGCAGGACAAGCAGAGACCTCTGCCTGAGGAAAGCAGGGAGGACCCTAGAAGGATGCTGGGTCACAGGTAAGCCTTGGAGGATGTGGTAATTGTATCAGAGGGAAATATGACCAATATAGCCCAGGTTGTGCTGGTGTTTCTGGGAGATCAACAAGACTGGATGACTTGTCCATGCGTGGCCTTAGATGATGTGCTAAGAAGCCTGGAATTGATCACAAGATAGATTGAGAATAGACAAAGGTTTTTAACCTATAGAGTGATATGATCACAAAGAGAATTAGGGTAATATTTTGGAGAAATCATGGCAGAGATAAAAACCTATTGGAAATGTTCCCCGGAACAAAAAATAAAAAATGAGTGTTTATTCCTATGATAAATTTACTTGCTAATTCTAAACTCTTCACTAAATTAAATGTTAGCTGATTCAATTCGTCAAAGTTTAGTTTCCATTACCGAAGATGAAGTACTCATTCCCTAAGTAGTCTTACCTGTGCCTATTTGAAGCCCAGCAACATTGCAGTCTACATTAATAGTCGTCTGTTCAGACTTGATGCTTCCTAACTTTATGTATAGGATTCTTCTTCATGGGGGTGCTTTAGCTAGTTAACACTTTTCAAACACAGTATCTTTTCTATGTAGAATGCCAACCAGAGCAAACTTACATAACAAGCAAATGTGGCCAGAGACATGAAAAAGTCACCTTCACCCCTTGATACCAACCTAGAAAGAGAAGAGCAAGTTCAGAGAACATATGACTCATCAAAGCCCAAAAAGAAAAGCTTCATGGGAACAGAGCAGTCTGTGGGGCCTCCTGGGGTCCTTTGAGCCTACAACCATATTTGCTTTTGTGTGATTTTCTGCAAAACAAAAGAACCCATCATTTTCATCCTTAGCATCAATTGTTGAATTCTGCTTTACCTCAGAGATGGTGCTCATGCTATATGTTCTACACTCTTCTTTTTATGCCAAGATAATGGTGCTGCCTTTCATTCCTCCTGAGCTTAGACTTATTTTATGAAATTCCTGCTTGCTGCAGTGCAGGCTACAAACAAGATGATTCTTCAGAGGAAAGACCTGAAAAGAGGTGAGGCATTCTTAGACCAATGTGAAGTGAAAGGGAGATGTGATATCTATATTTAATCTCTGCCTCTCAACGCTAGATTTTATTTTTTTACTCCCAGAGTTGTGTACATAATGCGTGGATACCAACTCTTCCAAGTACTGCATCAAAATTTTATACAAGCTGAAGAACGTACACAAGTAACAAAGGAACTGTTTTCTCTACTTTCATTCTAATAAAAACGCCAAAAGGAATGGCTAGTTCCTACTTATGATGACTTTTTCCTGAAGGTTAGCATATCAGGTACAGGGAAAAAGGACACTTATTTACACAGAAATAAGGGTGAAATTATCAAATTTAAAATTTGATATGTTAGAAACACAAGTTAGGCCCTCAAAAATTAAAACCTAATACTTGTTAGTGAAATAAGTATCATTATTAGGCTAAAGTCCTTGATTACACACAACTAGATTTCTGGCCATATTATTAGCTACAATTTATTAGATAGGTAGGTTGTCACTATATATTTCCCAGTTAAAGTTATACCAGGAATATTCTCAGGCAAAACAAGTATTTAGAACAGGTTCTTCATGGCATACTATCTTGTATTTCTTTAGATATCTTATTTTTCATTGTCTTGAGGTTCACTTTGGAATAGATAGAAAAGAGGAAGGTAAAGAAGGCAGTAACAAAGACTTAGGAAATGGCAGATTGAGTGACCCTTTACTATTTTAAATATTGTGAAAATGGTGCTGTACCTCAACCAGCAGTGAGCAGTGCTATGAACAATTCTTACCACTTAATAATCACATGCCGCTCCTTCCATTGTCTCTTGTCTTCAATTTACCTGGCCTGTAGTTGTAGGGCTACCCAGTTTTGTAAAAGTATAAATAGTCTTAAAATAGGATTTTACTCTTGGGGGGAAATTCTCAACTAAGTAGTCACAATGCACTTTGAATGACTAATATAAAGTCATTACATCACAAAATAAGGGATAAATCATACTTTTCATAATACTACCGCATAGGAATAGTTTTAGTTTTAAGAGTCAAGCACCTACATTAATCTGAGTCTAAAATAATAGGCCCCTGATTTAAAATCTCCTAACATTCTTTCACACTTCATAAAACTAAAAATAAAATTGTCTCACCAAGCACTGACCTATGGGTCCCACAAATGTACTGTATTTCAAGAAAAATTGAAGAGGTCTCAAAACCGCGACTTGCTGACAGATTACAGTTTGCATCCTTAATTGGTCCTGAACGTAGGGTGAGAGAGAAGAGACTATAATCTGTGGAGAATACGAGATTTATTTCCTTCTTAAATCAAAAGCAGATCCCATGTCTCAGCTCCCCCTCACCCGCCCGCCCTGCCCCCACGAGATTTTTTTCCCATATTTTTGTATGTTTTCCCCGCAGATGACAGGTCAGAGAAGGTTAAAGTGCAGTGTCTAGTCCACCAAGTAAACAGAAGGGTCAGGGCAGGTTTATTTATTTATAAAGCGCTCGTCCTCTCAGCTGTTTCTCCTTCACTGGCATTTGGAAGCGTGCAGTCCTTTAGAGGAGGCAGATTTGGCAGGAATGTTCTTTGTGCCCGCCTCCCTTTTTATGGGGTGGAGAGGAGGACGCATATTTGTAATGACAGCCTTGGGGGACGAGGCGGGGGCCGAAAAAGTTTCAGCTGGCATGATAATGCCCCTTTTTTCCACAGTCAACACCGTGCCACAAACAGCTTTGGTGCCACTCCGAGTCCTCCCCGTCCCCTCCCTGCCTCTCTGCAGGCTCGCAGCGGCAGGCGGAGGCACAGTTAAATTCCAGCACCTTCTCCGCAGATCCCCAAACTACTACGCGCTATTACTACGGCTACCCTCCCTTTCGCTTTGCGTTCTCCGCTTCCCCAACCTCCTCGGAGGCGCCCCGCAGCGTCCCTGCAAGGAGACTCCCAGGCAAAGGAACGGGGGGGCGCCCAACTCCAGGAGGGCTCGGGTCCCTCCGTGTCCTGCGCAGTTTCCCCGCTCCAGGCACAAACACTGCCCGAGAGCCGGCGCCTCGCAGTCACACACCGATCCACGCATACAGTAGAGCTGTCTCGAGCCACATTCTTGCACACCCGCTTCGCCCCCACCCCCTCCCGCCCCGCGCTCCGGGAGTCGCTGAGCTGGGCGAGTGACAGCCGCGTCCGGCCAACCCGCGCCCGGGCGGGCGGGGAGAAGCGGCTCGCGGGGCCAACTGCGGCGCGTCTTCCGGCGCCCGTGGAGGCCGCGAGGGTGGGACGCGGGGCGGAGCCGGAGTTTAGGAAGAGGAGGGGACGACTGTCATCAATGAAGTCATATTCATAATCTAGTCCTCTCTCCCTCCGTTTCTGTACTCTGGGTGACTCAGAGAGGGAAGAGATTCAGCCAGCACACTGCTCGCGAGCAAGGTAAATATAACTTACAACTCCTTTCTCCTCTCTCCCCTCCCTCCGGCCTCGGCGCTGCAGCCGCGGCGCGAACCCCTCCGGCATCGCGCCGCCCTCGCGGGGGATTATTCATTATTATCCTAATTATTATTTATTGTGCATGCACGGAGACCAAAACAAACAGGCGGGCCAACAGCAGCAGCAACAACAACCACAACCTCCGCCACCACAACAAAGCCCGCCTCCTCCCCGCCTGCCTCAGGTGGAAGGCTCTACAGACAGCCGGGGAAGAAACCGCAAAGTTTGCACCGGCCCTCGCAGTTCTAATAATAACAGTAATCATTACTACTTCAAGGGGGGGGGGGGAAGGGGAAAGGAGCCCCAGAAAACCACAGCCTTGACCCTAGGAAGCAATGGTGCGCTGCCAACTCAAGGCTGCAACACACGCTCCGCCAGGTTGCACCCCTGTCCCCTTAAATAAGCCGAAGTGGGGAGGGTGGGTGGTTGGAGGGAGAGGAGGGGGAGAACGGCTGGGGGACCCAGGAGGAGAATGGAGACGCGACAGTTCATCCCGAGCCGTCCTCCGGAAGAGTTGGAAGGAAAACGGGAAAGCAGGGCGAGGAGCCCGGGCAGGCGGCCGGGCGCCAATGAACGCGGCTGCCACCCATTTCCCGGGGACCTGTTTAAAGGGCTGGGCTGCGGAGACGCGAGCAGATCGTCGCGGGAGAGTCGGAGCCGAGCCGGCGCGCCGAGGAGGAGGCGGCGGTCACTGTCTCCGGGCCGGTGCGTGTAGGATCGGAGGTGTCACCTCCACTCTTCGCGTTTCCTCGGGCAGGCAGGGGGACGCGGACTGCTAGGCAGGCCTTTGGAGAAAGGGTCTGCCCGGGAGCTGCGTCCCGGGCGCTGCGGACGTCTGTGTCTCTGATAACTGGTGACAGCGCGGGTATTGAAGTTCGGGGTGTCCGGCCCGGGCCGCAGCAGTGGGCAGCGAGCGGGAGGAGGCCCCAGAGAAGGAGGTCGGAGGTGTCTGCCTGGCTCCGTTACCTTGCCCTCCCCCTCCCGGGGTTTGTTTTCTTTTGATTCGAGTCTTCCCCTGCTAGTGCCGCGGGAGCTGCGGCCTTGGGGCGCCTGCCATCGTCTAGGTGGCTAGGGGCGCGCTGGGACCCAGGAGAGCCACAGCCGCTGCGGACCAGGGAGGCCATGATCCGGATAATCCTCTCTGCCTGACTGTCACAAACAGGACCCGCGCGCACCCGGGCAGCGGCTGTGGCGTTCGCCCGGGAAGGGGAAGGGCTGCGGTGGGGAGGGAATGGGGGTTAGCAAGGGCGGGAGGCGGGGAGAGCGAGGGGGAGCCTCCTCCCAACGATGACACGCTCCCCTTCCTTCTCTCTCCTAGCTTTCGAGTTTGCTTTATTCCCATCCCAACCCGGTTTACCTCTTCCTCTGCTCTCCCCCTCTATCCTTCCACCTTCCCATCTGTTTGCGTTACAAAACATGGCCATGCCATCTGCAAAGGTGTCGCGATGCACTTCCACAAATAACCGGTCCAGCGCGCCAGCACCTCGGCGCCCTCCGGCCACTGGGTGCACGCCGAGCACTGTGCCACGGGGGTACCACAGGGGTGCCCCAGACCTCGCAGCCTGGATGCAGTTTCACGGCTCGGGGCGGGGTGCAGCAGCGCGGACTCCAGGGGACACCCGCGCCCTGGCCCCGGCACTCGGGCCGGTTTCCGGTACACCCGGGGAAATTGCCTCCTGCCAGGGTCTGCGCGCTTTCCCCCGCCTCCGCCGCCTGGATTGCATTATTATTTTTATCCGGGTTGCCGTTTGCTGCGGATGGTGGTGAGCCCTGGACTGCTTGGGGGCGGGTGTGTGTGGAGGGAAGTTGGACGTGGGTCAGGCAGAAAAAAAAAAAGTTTGGCAGGGTAGCTAAGTAGGGTGGAGGGGTGGGAGCGGGCGGCGAGCTCCCGCGGCTTGCGTCCCTGCGCCCTCGGGGCGGGCGCGAGGGTGTCTGCGCGTGAGTGTGTTTGCTGTGTGCGCCGGGACCAGTGTGTCGCGAGCAGCGCGCTGGCAGCGGCTCTAGCCCGCGCCCTTCCGCGGAGCCCGGGGAGGACACTGCCAGTTTCGGTGGCGAAGGCTGGTGGGGGTGGCGTGTGCGTGTGGTTGTGAGTGTGTGTGTGTGTGTGTGTGTGCTCGCGCGAGCGACTGAGAATCAGGAAGTCACAGCGGCGGAGCGCACACAGACATGTTTGATCGCCGTGACATGACGCGCGCGAGGGAGGAAGCGGCGGCGGCGGCGGGGGCCGGGCCGCGGGCTCGGACGCTGGCCTAGGTTGCGGCGTGGAGACCCTTTCCCAGCCGAGCCGGGGCCCCATCGGGCCCGAGCCCCTTTTTGTCCGCGTCCCCCAGGTAAGGAGCCTGCGCCGCTGCCTCCCGCTGTGCGCGGAGCCTTCTAGCTCTTTCCCTGCCTCCAGTCTCCGGCTCGCCTTTCCTGCAAAGTCAGGCAGGCGGGGGAAGCGGGCTCCTTGTCCTCCGATCGATTGCGTGGAAAACTTTCCAGCAGGAGGCACCGTGAGAGGGGAGAAGGCCTTGTTGGGCTGCTGTCGCTTGTCAGTTCTTTCTTCTCCAGGTCCAGAGAGTGTGAGTCTTGGCGTCCTGCGGTTTTTGCACATTCAAACTTCGGGCCTAAACGTGCCTCCAACTCTCGCAGGATTTACTCCGGCAAGAAAATAAATATTCCAAGTCGTCCATTCGGTCTTGTTAGGCATTTGGATTTTTATGGGAAGGCGGAGGGCTGGGAGTCAGAGGAGTGGGGGGTATTGTGCAGAATCCATTCCTTATTCAATGTCTGCACCCGGTGTTATGTAATTTTAGTAGCACATGGGTGAAAAGCCCACACCGGGCTTCTCCCTTCTTTGTTTATATAACTTTTAGGAGAGTTTTGTTAGGTTGCCTCCGCTTCCTCCATCCTTCTTCACCTGTTAGAGGTTGGTGCTTTAAAGAAACAAAGCGACCCGGGTTAGTAATGTTTTGGAGAGATGTCATCATTGTCTCCTTTTTGGTCATTATGTACGCATGTTCTCCTTTGTATGTGTAATGTTGGAACATAAGGAAGACATTAAGGACACACATTTGTTTATTGCATTGAGTGGCTATTTTTAACCTCTCTGCCTTACTGATGGCAGAGTTAAATTTCAAACTTTCATCTTACAGGATATTTCTGAATTTACACCTGGTCGTATGCCTTGTTTGCATGAAGAGAATGCGTCTACGAACAGTGAGGTTTCTTAGCAGTTGGGTAGCAAAAAATTCCTGTTCATCTCCCTAGGTCCACACCATTGAGAACTATACTAAAATAAGAACCATGCCCTATGGTATCTGTGCATAAAAATGAACATTCAGATGTATTCAGGAATATCCGCTAGTCATTGGTGGGGAGCTATTCGCTGAAGTTTGTTGGCCACACTGGGTTTAAGAGTTCAGGGTACTTACTTCTAGCACCCTGGTGAAGCACTAAAAGGTGCGGCAGGTTTGAATCCTCCTGGGACCATTGTTATGCAAATCAGGGCATGCTCTCTTTTAAGAATTTAATTGCCCTTTCATTTTCCTGGAGTTACTTTCCTTTAACAATCCTTTCTTTTAATTTAGATGTTTACTAGGTATTAGAAAAAGGGGACACCTGTTTGGTCACAGAGTATTTATTAACAACAACAACAAAAAATCCTGTGTAGATGAGAGGTCCCTCTACCTTGCCCAGGGCATGAAAGAGAGATGTCATGTTGGTAAAGAACATTTTAAAATAAATTAGGGATTTGGGTTATCAGACCCCTTGAGGGTGAGGTGAGGGAGGGCTTCTTTCAACACAGCCTTTCTCCTATGAGTTCTATCAGTTACATCTCAACACTGCGCTAGCTACACTGTGGGGTTTCACAGAAAATATTCACCACAAGAGCATGTTCAAAGCAGCCTTAGATCTTTTCTTTTGTTCGTTTTTAAAGTGGTTTTGAGCATTTCTCATCAAGTTTCTTGAAAAGTGCTTTGACCAACACCTGAGGCTTAAATTGGCCAAAAAAAAAAAAGTTAAAAAAAAGTGTGCTTCTGCTTTTATTATATTGTTAATGCTTGAATTCTGTTTCAAGTGTTCCTGACAGAATATAAGTAGAAGGTAGCCCTTTGGCAGATAATTATTTAAAATTGTTTTACTTTGATTAAGCTTAAGTCATTCCACAAACTGGTATAAAAGCACATCTTACTCTTTTCTAGAAGGTAATTGTAGTATACCTGATAATATTGTAATATTTTAGCATTTTGCTTTCAAGGCTTACTGTGTATTGGATCAAGATCATAAACCGACAACTTTCATAAATTATAAAAGTAGTGCTGTCCTCTGGTGTTTTCTTGTTTGGTTTTTTTTCCCCCCCTCTCTTTTTGAAGCCTTCCTTTGTAAACAAGGCCTTTGTGAAATTCTCTTAGGTCAGCAGGTTTTTGATACTCCAGAGAAATAATAAATCACTATTTATAACATCTTGATTTGCTGCCATGTGGACACTGACTTATCACAATATCATGCAAAGGACTGTTCTGCAGTTCTTGCAAGATGAGGCAGAGTTACTAAGACCTGATTTAACCACCGGAAGTTTTGATTTTTTTTTTTTTTTTGATACAGGATTTTACCATGCAGTTCAGGGAGGCTTTGAACTCACTTTGCAGCCCACACTACCCTCAAACTCACAATGATCCTCCCGCCTCAGCCTTCTGAATGCTGAGATTACAGGCATGCACCACCATGCCCAGCAGAAGTTTTCATTCTTACTGTGTCTGGCAAAGATGATTTCAAGGGAAGATACAAACAGTTGCTTAATATGAGTGCTCTTAGAAAATTCTATATATGAGTCACATTTCCTTCTGCAGTATTTTCTGGTGAGCAGATGAGGAAATTTTCCTAACATGAAAAGCCACATTTTGGGACTGTTTTGATTTCTTCCTGTCACTTTTTTTGTCATGTAAGAAAATTAATCTTTA